AAAAAAAGGGTAAATTATTCGATCTGACTCATATTTAATACGGATAAAAAACGGGTTAACCGGCGGATAATATGGGTAACCATATTATCCATGGCTTTACGAATATGATCACTTCCTAGTCTTCCAAACTTGAGGAACCCCCAATTTCAGGTTTTGCAAATGTAAAAGTTTCTAAATAGATAATATAATTCTTATCTATATTTGACTCGTTCTTAAAAAGTTTATTATTCAATCAGTTTTTTAATGGATAATATGGGTGGTTAATTGTTTTAGTTTAATCATTTTGATACCCTATTCATATGACAATAATTTTACCAGTGATAATGCTCTCCTTCATACAGTGGTAATGAATGCTGTAGTTAATAATTTTGTAACTCTCTTATTTGTTTACATCTTTATACCGGTTAAGAGATACGCTATTATTTATAACTCAACACATGTCCAGGAACTTAGAATCTTACAGGTACGTAGTTACAATGAAGTCAACTTGGTAGTTGACATGCAGAATATTAAAGGAACAATATTGTTAATAATTGGCATAGGTGAAACCATATAAAATCTCTGTTAATATATTTATGAAGCAGATAAGACGAGTAACTTAGGGAATACATAGGGTTGTGTGAAACGTAGCTTGACCAATTGAGGCGAATATTCTTACCGATAATTGTAATTTCATAAAACATTATTCCCTACAGAACCGACCAACAGGGCTAGGCGTCAAAAAGCCGTTACTAACCAGTAGCCAAACTGTCCTTAAACCTCTTTTTAAATGACTTACCTCGGGAGATGGGCCTCACATCTAATTTAGAATCCGTTTAGATTAGCTTATTTTAAGTGTTTTTAAGTCAAAAAAACGTTTAAGTTATTTTGTAGTGTTTGGATAGAATAAAAAAATGCTTTAAAACATTTGTTTTTAAGCTAAAATGACAAAACAAGCCAAAAGCGAAAAATCAAAAACTTGAATTCTAAGTTATGACTTAAAAACTATTTTGGCTTAAAAGTCTTTCAAAATAAGCCGTTCCAAACAGGCTCTTAATCTAGAAAAAAAAACTTAATCACCTCAATGCATTATTTTAAAATTTTGATCCCCACTTACACGTTTCAATCTTTTTGAAGTAATTTTTTTTGTTGTTTAAACAGAGAAATATTAACAATAGACATGCAATGTATGAGATGAAAATTTTGGTGTACGAATATAATAAGAACCTTTCACAGTTTCTTGTGCAACTTTTGTAATCTCATTCTGTACTTATTTCACGAGAAAAAACTGCAGTAAAAGAATTAGTAAATTCACGGCTCAATACAATATTGTAATTAAGGCCTGATAAGATATGTATCATTTGTTTTAATGATTTGACAAACTTCAAGAGAGAATTAGATAAGAAACCTGAAACAATTAGTTCCTTTGCGTTAAGAGTAACTAGTCAGATGTATGGTCAACTCTCAATGAAATCAGTTAAGGGAACAGCAGAGGGAACATATAGAGATCAGTTCATCCGGTCACAGTACAGTTCAACCACTTACATCTATTAAAGTCGTTGCACTGCACACGCAACAGTGCAGGAGTCACTTTATGGAGCATGCCTTGTACCGAATATTTGCTTATATCATCCCAATTATCTCACACACATATTATCAACATAAAGGTAAGGGATTTTATTTCCTAACACTTGCAAAACCTAAAATTGATTTTCTCTCTCAAGTGCTAGCCACCATCTCTCTCAAGAACAAAGCAGCTGCAACCTCAAGGACCAGATCCAAAGATTGAAGATATCTTAAGTCCTTAGGTATGTTGAGTCTTTGTTATTTGTTCTTCATTTGTAATCCTACACTACTTTCAAGAAGTGTCTTTGTAGGACAAATTTAAACCACTGTTTGGTTTAGTTTCTTGACTAGAGTTAATCAAGATTTGTTGCTTTGTAATAGAGTTATTACAAAGAGGCTTGAAATATAGTTATTGCAAGTAGGTGGAGGATTAAGAGTTTAATTCATATGTTACAATAGGTTGTAATCTAAAGTTGCTCGGTTAGTAAAATTAAAATCCTACGAGTGTAGGTCGTGGTTTTTAATCCCGTGAGCTGGAAGTTTTTCACATAAAATATTATTGTGTTATTTACTTACTACTGTGTGTGTGAGTTCTATGGGAACTGATAGAGAACCAGGTTCTCTATATAGTATGGTGGACTCTTAGTTTGCATCAATTGGTATCAGAGCGGGTTCTTTCTATAAGACTAATACCTAGAAAGGATCTATATGGCTGCTCCACCAAATTTTGAAGAAGGTCAATCAACCTACAGACCGCCAAGATTTCAGAAAATGGTTCGTAGAAATGGAGGTATACCCAAGAAGGGCAACTCTTGTAGAAACACTAAAGGATACGATTGCTGTCACAAGTGCGAAAAGCCAGTGTATTTCATCAAAGATTGTCCTCTTCACAAGAAGGACCATTACAAACACAATGTTGACAAGATGGTTAAGAGGAACCCTATCCCCGATAGAAAGTTCAAGAGAAGAGATGTCGCTGATAATATTGTAAAGCAAGCTCTGGCTGCCTGGGGAGATTCTCTAGTGAATCTGAGGGTGATGCTGAACAGGCAGAAACCTCCATGATGACTGTTGAAAGCAAAGCTGCAAAATATGATTTCATATGTGCATTGATGGTAAAATCTGATGAGGATGAAGAAGATGATGACAATGAAGTAAGCTTTCTGGACGTTCAAAGAAATTTGAAATCTTATTCTACAAAGAAGCTGGTATCTTTGGCTAATATTTTAATTGATGCTTACCATAACCTCATTAGTGATAAAAATATTTTAACCGAGTTAGAATAAGAGAGAGATGATCTGGTGGTTGTAGTTGTAGATTTGAAAGAAATAATGGAGGAAACAAAGAAATAAAATATCCTCTTAAAACTTCAATGGAAAAATGCATGAACTCCTGTAAAGGAAAGGAAGTGGCAAGCGAGGCACACCTTAAGCTTGAAAATGAACTTAGAAATATAAAATTAAGTCTTGCTGCTGAACTTGAAAAGAATAAACAATTCAGGAAAATTTAAACAAGGTTAAAAATGGTCTAGATAAATCTCTGAAGTGGACCTCGTCCTCTGATACAATCACTTCTATGTATAGAAGTAATGGAGGAAACATGCAAGGAATCAGGTTCCACAGGTTCGACAAGAAGAAAGCCCCTCTAACCCACATAAAAAGTAAGTTATTATGCCTGATAACTGGCTTTGTACTCACTGTGGTAAGTCTGGTCATTACAAAGATTCATGTAAAGCAAAGTTTCAGTCCCAACAGAAAAATAAAGTTTTTGTCAAAAACGTTTCTACTACTAAGGAACCTGATTCTCTGAAAAAGAAATGTGTGATGCCTGCATGGACAAAAAGAAATTTGATTCACCTTATTCCTCATTACAAGGGACCCAAACTTATTTGGGTTCCTAAGACTAATCTCGAATTCCCTTGTGCAGGCAGTAGTGAATGGAAGCAGTCAAAAATAGTACATGCATAGTGGCTGCTCTAAACACATGACTGGAAGAATGGATGATTTCTTTTCACTTAAGGCCCTGCAAGGTGGGAGTGTATCCTTTGAAAATGAGAAAAAAGGAATACGTTCTGGGAATTGGAAATATTGGGAACACTCTCTCACTCAATTAAGAATGTGTATTATATGAATGGCTTGAAGTATAGCCTGCTGAGTTTCTCTCAAATCTGCGACAAAGGAAACAAAGTGGAGTTCCTGCCAAAGTCTTACATTGTCACCAATCTTATAACTAGTGAAGTGGTTCTA